GAACACAAGCAGGGGGAGGGGGAGAGGGAGAAGCAGGCTTCCCGCTGAGCGGGGAGCCCGATGCGGGGCTCGATCCCAGGACCCTGGGATCATGACCCGAGCTGAAGGCAGACGCTTAACGACTGAGCCACCCAGGCGCCTCCTAAGGTTGTTTTTTTTGTTTTGTTTTGTTTTTAATCTTAGGCTCTGTTTCCTTAGGAACTCAGACTAAAGTAGGCATCAGAGTGGCTATTGCTGGGATATATGAGCCTGTGGTTCAGAGAAGAGGTCAAGGCTGAGATACAGATTTTGCAGTCATAGATCGTATTTAAGGAGATGAGACCGGAGGAGATCACCCAGGAAGAGAATATAGGTAGAAAAGGAAGGAGATATGCAGAGATAGGAACCCTGAGCCCTCAGGCACCGCAGTCCAGAGAGATGAAGAGATAGCGTCGAGACCGAGGAGAAATGCCCCGTGAGTTAGAGGAAAACCAAGCAGGTTGTTCTCGAAGGCAAATGTAAATACGTAAGTTATACAAAATACTGCTGATAGCTCAAGCAATAGACGTCTAATAAATGAGTATTGGAATCAGCAATATGGAGATGAGCAAACTTTACTACAACTCTGTGTGGATAAGAATTTGTATAACATAGAGTGATGTCACATCTCTCATTCCTGACATAATAATCTATTTTCTCTTTCTTTTCCCGCATCCTCCCCCCACCCCGCAACAGTCTGGCAGAAGTTTATTAATTTTATAAACCTTAGCTTTTGGTTTAAAAAGAATATAGAAATTTTTTCTAGTTTTTGTTTTTTATTTTGTTGACTTCCAATCTAATCTTTGCTATTTCATTTTTTCTCTTTACCTTGGGTTTAATTTGTTCTTATTTTGGTTTCTTAACATGAAAGCTGAGGTAACTTAATTAAGACTTCTTTTTTTAGAGAGAGCGAGCGAGCGCACAGGAGTGCCGGTGGGGGGCAGAGGGAGAGACGGAATCCCAAGCAGGCTCCAAGCCAAGGGCAGAGGTTGCCGCAGGACTGGATTCAGAACCCTGAGATCGTGAGCTGAGCTGAAATCAAGAGTCTGGCACTTAACCGAGTCACCCAGGTGCCCCAAAACATTTTTTTCTAATGTGTTTTATTGCTATAGGGGCGCCTGGGTGGCTCAGTTGGTTAAGCGACTGCCTTCGGCTCAGGTCATGATCCTGGAGTCTCAGGATCGAGTCCCTCATCCGGCTTCCTGCTCAGCTGGGAGTCTGCTTCTTCTGACCCTCCCCCCTCTCATGCTCTCTCTCTCTCTCTCATTCTCTCTCTCAAATAAATAAAATCTTTTTAAAAATGTGTTTTATTGCTATAAATTTCCCCATAAGTACTGCATCCCATAGATTATTTTTTCAAATATTTCTCTATACTTCCTGTCTCACCTTTGAGGACTCAGATTACAATTACACATATCAGGGCACTTGAAATTGTACCACAGCCTGTCGATGCTCTACTCATTTTTTCTCAGTGTTTTCTTTTCCTCTGCTTTTCATTTTGCAGAGTTTCTATTTATATACTATAATTTTTTTTCTTCCTTTCTTCTATTACACTTTAACTACAATTAATCCCATCTGTGTGTTTTTTGTTGTTTTTGTTTTTGTTTTTGTTTTAAATCTCAGACATTGTAGTTTTTGTCTCTAGAAGTTTAGTTTGGTTGCTTTTTGTAACTTTCATGTCTCTACCAAACATGCTGTGTTTCCAGTAGCTTCTTGATCATATGGAATGTAGTTATAATTATCTTTATGGGCTTGTCTATTAATTCTTTGTCATTTCTGGGCCAATTTAGTTGAGTGGTTTTCTTATTATGGGTTGTATTTTCCTGCTTCTTTGCATGATTTATAGTTTTTTTTTAAAGATTTTATTTATTTGACAGAGATAGACACAGCTAGAGAGGGAACACAAGCAGGGGGAGTGGGAGAGGGAGAAGCAGGCTTCCTGCTGAGCAGGGAGCCCAGTGCGGGGCTCCATCCCAGGACCCTGGGATCATGACCCGAGCCGAAGGCAGACACTTAACGACTGAGCCACCCAGGCGCCCCACATGATTTATAATTCTTTTTAATATTTTATTTATTCATTTGAGACACACAGATACAGAGAGCATGAGCAGTGGGAGAGGGAGAGGGAGAAGTAGACTCCCTGCTGAGCCAGGAGCCCGATGTGGGGCTTGATCCCAGGACCCTGGGATCATGACCTGAGTCGAAGGCAGATGCTTAACCATCTGAGCCACCCAGGCGCCCCATGATTTATAATTTTTGATTGGATGCCAGACATTATGCATTGTGCCTCTTAGGGTGCTAGATATTTTTTATATATTCTTGAGTTTTGTTATGGGATGTATTTAAATTATTTGGATACAGTTTTATCCTCTCAGGTCTTGCTCTTAAATATCTTTTAGGGAATATGAGTCTAGGGTACATTTTTCTCCACTAAGGAGGCAGGACCCTTCCTATTATCCAAACCCAGAGTTTCTCAGCCTCAGCAAGGTTGATATTTAGGGCTGGGTAATTTGTTATGCATTGTAGGATGTTTAGCAGCATCTCTGGCCTCTACCGACTAGATGCCAGTAGAACCCATCTTCTCTGGTGTAACAACCCAAGAAAAGGTCTCCAGATGTTGCCAAATGTCGGGGAGGGGGGAGGGCAGTAGTGATAGGCAAAATTGCACTTGAGAACCAATATTCTGACGCCCTGTGAATTATGAGGTTTTCTACTCAGGTACCCTTGGTGAGCTCCAGTGATTTCTCTCTCTAATCCTTTTGGATCATTCTTTCCCCGCCTCAGGTAGTTTCCCTATACACAGGTGCTCATCAAAACTGAACTCGAGGGGGGCCCTTTGCAGATCTCCAGTGTTCTCTGTCTAGTTCTCTATCTGGTACATTGCCCTGCAAAAGCTAGCCACCGTGGCCTCCGAGGACCCCTGGCTCCATCTTCTCAATTCAGGGAGACTGCCAGGCTCTGCTTGAGTTCTCCTTTCCTGTGCTGTGTGCTAGAAACTCTCCCCAGGTAGTAAATTGAGACCACTCAAATTTGCTTCACTTGTTTCCCATCTCTCAGGAATCCCATCTCTCTGATCCTTTGCTGTATGTTTTGCAACATTTGTTCAGGCAGTTTAGATCTGGTCATCTTGGCCCAATGGATTTTGTGTGTTCATGATTTAAAAACAAAACAAATTTCCATCATAATCAGAAAAATCCAGGAGAGGAAAATTGATAATGCAAGATGGAGAGTGTTGGGAACGTGCCTTTGAGTAAGTGAGAGAGGACAGGTTAGGGCCAGTGGAGGATTCAGGCAGAACAGATGATCCAAAGTTAAGAGGGAAGAAGGCATTAGTACACCAAGATATGGACACTTTACTCTTTTTTTTTCCCCAGTTGTAAATATCAGTGTAATAGGTATAGACGGGGATAGGGACAGAGAGAACATTTATATAGGTGGATAGAGAAAATTAAAATGTTAATCGGATGTTACTAGGATTGTGAACTTATGGGTCACTTTTTGGGTGATTTTTATTTCTAAACTCTATTATTACTTCATAAAGAAAACAGGCAAAGAAACATTTTTAAGAATTTACATAGGGAGCTGGACCCTTTGTTCTATTCTCAGCACCTAGTCATGCTACTTCTTTGCCCAAAAATGGTTTCCCATCTCATTCAAAGTGTAAGTCATAGTCCTAACAATGGCTAACCAGGTCTTCCACGATCTGGCCCCACCCTCCCCCCTTACCCCATTTACTCCCTGGCTTCACCCACTACTTTACCTCATGTTTATTCTGCTTCAGTGACTCTGCCTTCTGTTTCTTGAACAAATCATTGCTCCCACATCAAGCTATTTGCACTTGCTATTCCCATGCATGGAACGGCTTTCCTCCAGTCTCATGGCTTGCTTTCTTATACTTATTCCCATCTTTCCTCAAATTCCACTTTTTTTCCAATTTATTTTCTCCTTACCACTCATATGACATACAATATGCTTTTCCTTTCTCTGCTGCCGTAT